CGCGATGTGCGCCGCGCCCCATATTTGACAGGGCAGGCCATGCTGACAGGAAAAAACCAAGACTTCGTATTGATTTTTTTACAGTCAGGATGGGCGGGCCCAGATTGACTGCCGCGCGCGATGTGCGCCGCGTCCCATTCCTGCCACGCTTTTCGCATCTTCGACGACAAGACTTTGTAATGATTTTTCAAAACCCTCCTGCGTTGGGTTCTCGTTTTGAATAGAGCACTGCTCGCGCGTCCCCTTCCCACCCCCTCCCGTCCCTCTCTTCCCCCTTACCTTTCGCCTCGCTCGTCGCTGCGTGCCATCTGGGGGGCTGCGATATGTGAAACTGTCGCCACTTTCGAGACCTGCTGGGGGGCCCAGCACAGTGGGTACCCACGGCAGACTCAAATGGGACCTCGCCATCCCTGGGGGGCTGCGATCTGTGAAATTGTCGCCACTTTCGAGGCCTGCTGGGGGGCCCAGCACAGTGGGTATTCACGGCAGACTCACATGGGACCTCGCCATCCTTGGGGGGCTGCGATATGTGAAATTGTCGCTAATTTTGATGCCTGCTGGGGGGCCCAGCACAGTGGGTATTCACGGCAGACTCACATGGGACCTCGCCATCCCTGGGGAGCTGCGATCTGTGAAATTGTCGCCACTTTCGAGGCCTGCTGGGGGGCCCAGCACAGTGGGTACTCACGGCAGACTCAACTGGGACCTCGCCATCCCTGGGGGGCTGCGTTAAGTGAGACGGTCGCCACCTTCGAGGGCTGCTGAGGGGCCCACCACAGTGGGTACTCACCGCAGACTCAAATGGGACCTCGCCATCCCTGGGGGGCTGCGATATGTGAAACGGTCGCCACTTTCGAGGGCCGCTGAAGGGGCCCAGCACAGTGGGTACTCACCGCAGACTCAAATGGGACCTCGCCATCTCTGGGGGGCTGCGATCTGTGAAACGGTTGCCACTTTCGAGGGCTGCTGGGGGCCAACACAGTGGGTACTCACCGCGGACTCAAATTGTACCTCGCCATCCCTGGGGGGCTGCGATCTGTGAAACTGTCGCCACTTTCGAGAGCTGCTGATGGGCCCAGCACAGTGGGTAATCACGGCATGCTCAAATGGGACCTCGCCATCCCTGGGGGGCTGCGATCTGTGAAACTGTCGCCGCTTTCGAGGGCTGCTCAGGGGCCCCGCACAGTGGGTACTCACCGCAGACCCAGATTAGACCTCGCCATCCCTGGGGGGCTGCGATCTGTGAAATTGTCGCCACTTTCGAGGCCTGCTGAGGGGCCCAGCGCAGTGGACCCACGGGCGGATTCAAATTGACCTCGCCATCCCTGGGGGGCTGCGATCTGTGAAACTGTCGCCACTTTCGAGGCCTGCTGGGGGGCCCAGCACAGTGGGTACACACCGCGGACTCAAATTTGACCTCGCCATCCCTGGGGGCTGCGATCTGTGAAACTGTCGCCACTTTCGAGGGCTGCTGAGGTGCCCAGCACAGTGGGTACCCACACGCAGATTCAAATGGGACCTCGCCATCCCTGGGGGGCTGCGATCCGTGAAACCGTCGCCACTTTCGAGGCCTGCTGGGGGGCCCAGCACAGTGACGCATCACGCAGATTCAAATTAGACCTCGCCATCCCTGGGGGGCTGCGATCTGTGAAACTGTCGCCACTTTCGAGGCATGCTTGCGGGGCCCAGCACGGTGACGCCTCCCAAGTAGCTTACACATCAAGTCGATTGTCCATACAAGTTTCGGCCAATCCTCGTTTCCATTGATACAAATGGGTTGGGTACGTCACAGGGTAATTTAAAGTCCGGATGGGAGGTCCCGGATCGGTTTGCTATCGGCCGGAATACGAGGTAGGCGGGGTATATAATAATATGGAACAAGGATGGGGGGCGTGGGGAGGGAGGGAGGGGGGGAGGGGCAAGTTAGGTGCGCTCGCGTCAACATCTGACATCCTACCCCTCCCTCCCATCCCTTACCATGGCGCTGATTTTCTCTATCCGCGGACGCGTGTCGTAGCGGACCTGTGGCTCCGCGCGCGTGTGCGTAGTGGGTGGTGGTGCGCGTGCGTGCGTGCGTGTGTGCGTGGTTGTGGTTGTTGTGGTGGTGGTGGTATGTGTGTGTGTGTGTGCGCGTGTGTGCGCGTGTGCTGTGGTGTGACGTGGTGTGGCGTCTTGGTGGTTTGGTGGTGGGCCAGGTGCGTACGTGCATGATGGCGGTGGTGGTGGTGGTGGTGGCAGTGGTGGTGTGTGTGTGTGTGTGTCTGTGTGTGTGTGCGTGTGTGCGTGCGCGTGTGTGTGTGTGTGTGTGTGTGTGTGTGTGTGTGTGTGTGTGTGTGTGCGTGTGTGCCTGCGTGCGTGCGTGCGTGCGTGCGTGCGTGCGTGCGTTCGTGCGTGCGTGCGTGCGTGCGTGCGTGCGTGCGTGCGTGCGTGCGTGCGTGCGTGCGTGCGTGCGTGCGTGCGGCGTGCGTGCGTGCGTGCGTGCGTGCGTGCGTGCGTGCGTGCGTGCGTGCGTGCGTGCGTGCGTGCGTGCGTGCGTGCGTGCGTGCGTGTCTGTGTGTGCGCGCGTGCGATGTGGTGTGACGCGGTGTAGCGTGGTGGTGGTGGGTGGGGTAGTGCGGTGGTGGTGGCGGTGCGCGGTGGTGGTGCGCGTGCGTGCGTGCGTGCGTTGGTGGGTGGAAGTGGCGGTGGGTGTGCGCGCGGCGGGGCGGCGCGTGGTGCGGCGCGGTGGTGGCGGGCGGATGGGCGCGCGAGAAAGAGGCGCGCGCTGGGGCGAGAACGCCATCCTGAACGACGGAGGCAAAACACCGATCCGAAAAGGAGGCCCACGCTGCAGCGGGAGCACGATCCGGAACGATTCGGGAGCAGAAATGAGGCCGGCGCCTCAGCGAATACGCAAAAGACGTCATCAGGGGAAGAGGGAGAGTAGTATTCATATTGGGTAATTGTGGATGGGGAGGGGATGGGGGAGGGGGTGGAGGGGAGAGGGCGGGGGAGAGGGGAGGGGGAGGGGGAACGGGGAGGGGGGGGGAGAGGGAGGGGGGAGGGGGGAGGGGAGAGGAGGGGGTGGGGGAGGGGGATGAAAGGGGATGAGGGAAGGGGGGGGAAGGGGCGGGGGGGGAAGAGGAGGAGGAAGGGGGAGGGGGAGGGGGAGGGGGAGGGGGACAAGCTAGGTGCGCTCGCGTCATATCTGACATCCTACCCCTCCCTCCCATCCTTTACCATGGCGCAGATCCCTTCTCTACTCGCACAGTCGGATGTCGAGCGGCGCAATGATCCCGAAAGGGTACGCGATGCATTGTAGAGCACGGCGTGGTATGGCGTAGAAGAGCACCGCGCAGCGTAGCATCAACCTAGCATTGCATCGCATGCCGTGGCATGGCACGGGAAATGACGCCAGCGCTGCAGCGGGAGCACGAGTCGAAACGAGCGGAAGCGCGGAAATGAGGCCAGCGCTGCAGCGGGAACGCGATTCGGAACGAACGGAAGCACGGAAATGAGGCCAGCGCTGCAGCGGGAACACGATTCGGAACGAGCGGGGCCAAAAAATGAGGCCGGCGCCTCAGCGAGAGCAGCATTTTGAAAAACAATGCAGGCGAAACTCAACTCCAGGGAAACCTGTGTGTAAAAAAACGTACGCGGGGGGGGGGTCGGACACTTTCAAATCGTCATCAGGGGAATAGGGGGAGTAGTATTCATATTGAGTAGTTCTGAGGGAGGAGGAAGACGAGGG